CTATCAACTTCAACTGTTCACCCAACCATGGAGCATCATTCAGCAAGAAATCTCCAGCACGAAACTTTTGACATGTTCAAGCAGTCAGAGCACCTTCTCCATACACTGCACAAGTCTTTTTTTATGTGTCAGTTGCATTTTTACCTTTTTTGAAATAATAAAGCATAATATGCCAAAAATGTATATTTTCTTCCATCTTCAATATTAAAATGGCTACCCAAAAATTAACCAATTTTTTTTTAAATGCATGCTGATGCGACAATTGTAACAATATAATCTAACAAGATTGTTTTGAATAGAGTTAAAATGCTTATAAGAGCCATCTTACAGAAAAAAACAAAAGAACTTTTTGGCCAACCCAATACATATTCTAACCTACCTCCCAAAACCCCATTCTTCCTAACTTCCATAATACAGAGCTCTCTAAGAAGCTGAAGTGCTAGAAATTATTTGATTATCAAAATCCTGAATTTCCTTGAACTCATTTTTAAAAACAATGACTTTCATCTGGAACATCAGGTCATGTTCCATTTATTTTTTTCTCTCTCCTTTTTTTTTTATTGTTTAACTACATTTGTCTCCATTTTCCCACCACCATTTTCCCTGCTCTGCTCCCGCCCACCTTCCACCCTCAATCCTTCCCCACTTTCGCTTTGTCCATGGGTCCTTTATACATGTTCCCTGATTTTACCCTTCCCCTTCTTATCCCCGTTACCACCCTCTCATTACTGTCGGTTTATTTTTTTCTTTCACTGTTGCTGGTTATGTTTTTCTTGCTTGTTTGTTTTGTTGATTAGGTTCCACTTATAGGTGAGATCATATGGTATAGATCATATTGTATTTGTCTTATCCCCTGGCTTATTTCGCTTAGCGTAATGCTCTCCAGTTCCATCCATGCTGCCTTGAAGGATAGGAGTTCATTCCTTCTGCTGTGTATTATTCCATTGTGTAAATGTACTAGTTTTTTGATCCACTCATTTACTGATGGTCACTTAGGTTGCTTCCAGCATTTGGCTATTGTAAATTGTGCTTCTATGAACATTGGGGTGCATAGTTTCTTTTAAATTGGTGTTTCAGGATTCTTAGGGTATAATCCCAGCAGTGGAACTGCTAGGTCAAAAGACAGTTCCATTTTTAGCTTTCTGAGGAAATTCCAAACTGTTTTCCACAGTGACTGCACCAGACTGCATTCCCACCAACAGTTTACCAGGGTTCCCTTTTCTCTACCACCTTGCCAGCACTTGTTTTTTGTTCATTTGTTTATGGTGGCCATTCTGACCAGCGTGAAGTGGTATCACGTAGGGGTTTTAATTTGCATCTGTCTGATGGCTAGTGATGCTGAGCATCCTTACATATGTTTCTGGACCCTGCATGTGTCCTCCTTGGAGAAATTTCTGTTCAGTTCCTTTGCCCATTTTTTAATTGAATTGTTTGTCTTCCTGGAGTGGAGCTGTGTGAGTTCTTTGTATATTTTGGAGATTAAACCCTTATCTGAGCTATCACTGGCAAATATATTTTCCCTTATGGCAAATATATTTCCCCATATGGTTGGTTCCCTTTTCATTTTCCTGATCTTTTCTTTAGCCATGCAAAAGCTCCTTATTTTGATGAAGTCCCATTTGTTTATTCTTTCCTTTATGTCCCTGGCTCTAGGGGACATATCAGTGAAAGTATTGCTGCATGGGATATCTTAGTTTCCTGCCTATGTTCTCCTCTATCTAGGACTTTTATGGTGTCACAACTTACATTTAAGTCTTTTATCCATCTTGAGTTTATTTTGGGGTATGGTATAAATTGGTGGTCAAATTTCAATTTTTTGCATGTATCTGTACCAGATCTTCAGCACCATTTGCTGAAGAGGCTATTTTTACTCTATTTTAAGCTTCTTCCCCCTTTTTCAAATATTAATTGACCACAGACACATGGGTTTATTTCCAGGCTCTCTATTCTGTTCCATTGATCTATATGTTCTTATGCCAGTACCAGACTGCTTTGATTACAGTGGCCTTGTACTATAGTTTAATGTCAGGTATTGTGATCCCTCCTACTTTGTTCTTCTTTCTCAAAATTGTTGCAGCTATTTGGGGTCATTTATGGTTCCATGTAAATATTTGAAATGTTTGTTCTATATCTGTGAAATACATCATTGTTATTTTAACATGGATTGTGTTGAATCTATAAATTGATTTGGGCAGTATGGCCATTTTGATGATGTTAATTCTTTCGATCCATGAACACGGTATATGCTTCCATTTATTTGTGTCTTCCTTAATTTCTTTCTTCAGTGTTGTGTGGTTTTCTGAATACAGGTCTTTTACCTTCTTGGTTAAGTTTATTCCTAGGTACCTTATTTTTCCTGTTGTTATAGCAAATTGGATTATTTTCCTTATTTCTGCTTCTGATATTTCATTGCTGGTGTACAAAAATGCCTTCGATTTCTGAATGTTGACTTTGTATCTCGCTGTTTTGCCAAATTCACTTATAGGCCGAGTAGTTTTTTGGTGGAGGTATTCTATGTACACTATCATGTCATTTGCAAACAATGACAGTTTTATTTCTTCCTTTCCAATTTGGATGTCTTTTATTTATTTTATTGTCTGATCGCTGTGGCTAGGACTTCCAATACTATGTTGACTAGAAGTGGTGAAAGTAGACATACTTGTCTTGTTCATGATCTTAGTGGGAAATCTTTTAGTTTTTGCCAATTGAGTATGATGGTGGCTGTGGGTGTCTCATTTATGGCCTTTATTATGTTGAGGTATGCCCCCTTTACTCCCACTTTGCTGAGTATTTTTATCATAAGCGGAGGCTGTACCTTATCAAATGCTTTTTCTGCATCTATTGATAGGATCATGTGGTTTTTGTCATTCCTTTTGTTTATGTGATGTATTACATTTATTGATTTGCAAATATTGAACCATCCTTACTTCCCTGGGATGAATCCCACTTGATCATGTTGGATGATCTTTTCAGTGTATTGCTGGATGCGGTTTGCCAATATTTTGTCGATGATTTTAGCATCTATGTTCATCAGCTATATTGGCCCATGGTTTTCTTTCTTTGTTGTGTCTTTATCTGGTGTTGAGATTAGGATGATGCTAGCCTCATAAAAAGAGTTTGGGAATCTTCCCTCTCCTTGGATTTTTTGGTAAAGTCTGAGAAGGACAGGAGTTAGCTCTTCATTAAATGTTCTGTAAAATTCTTCTGTGAAACTGTCTGGTCTGGGGCTTTTGTGTGCTGGGAGTTTTTTGATAACTTCTTCAATTTCACCAGCTGTTATTGTTCTGTTCAGGCTTTCTGCTGCTTTTTCATTCAGTGTTGGAAGGTTATCTTTTTCTAGAAATGTGTCCATTTCGTCAAGGCTTTCAAATTTCTTGGCATCTAATAGTTTTTTTTGACAGCCTCCAAGGAATGGGCCATCATCAGAACTCAACACTGATAACATGAAAATGTAATTACTTAGTGGCTTAGGAGATAATTATTTAGCTGTGATTATTTCCCATCCACAGGGGGAAGGGGAGAGAAGTAAAAAGTATTATTTATGAACCACCTAAAATTTTGTATTACTTTTCCTCTTAGAGAAAGCAAGAAATCAAACTGATGTTTCAAATATTTTTATTTTGTTCAACCTGGGAAATGCACACATTGTATAGTCCACATTTTTTAACATAATATATTTTTACTTGGCTTCTTTTAGGATGTAGTAAGGGTCTTTAAAAGGAGTTTCTGTTGGTACCTAAGGAAGCAATATTTGTCTTTGTCCAGCTCTTCTGTTATTTATCACTAGTGGCTTAATTAAATAAATGTTGAATCAATATATTGTATACCTGACACTAATATAAATTTCATGCCAACTATACTTAAATTTTAAAAATTAAATAAATTGATTCTGATAAAGGCCATTTTTCAGTATAGACTAGAGATAAATTATTATAAATTATCTTGGAGTCAGATTTTAAACAGTTTATTCCCAAGTTGTCATCTTTGGAGTCATCTAAAATTTAAAGAAAAATATTGACTATATTTTATAAAAAATACAGTAGTATAATTTTTGGCATTAGTTTCATCATACTCCCTACTTACTTTGTTTACACTTTGAAGTAATAAAAGCTCCAGATAAAATATCCTTTTAAAGAGGCATCTCTAAAAAAATATATACATATATATGCTTTGGCTTTTGCCATGGGAGAGGAGAAAAAAAGAGAAGCTACTTAGCATTGATTCTTCAACATCATTCACTTGTTTCTTTATCTCTTTCTTGAAATGTTAGCTAATTGAAAAATGGAAGTGATTGATCACAGAAGGAAATTTGAGTGTGAAATCAGGACCACCTTAATTTTGATGTTCTCTTGACTTAAAATATCTGTTCAATTCCGGAAATTTGAAAAGAAATATTTAGCTATAAAAAGCTTCACCCACTTTTCAATCAATTCCCTGCCCCGACTTGTGTCCCTCTAAGAAATGCAACAAAACCTTCCATATTCTAAGCAGCCCTTTCTAGTACTAGCAGATTTGTGAAAGGGAGAACATATAAGAGGTTTTGATTTTTGGTAACTTTGCCACTACTTATATGTGACTGCATACAAGATATAATTCTTTAGTAAAGTTTGAAAGTTGATAATAAATTAAACGTATCAGTGATACTTAATGGTCTTGGATGTCAAGGATGTATTGCTTATACACTGTCCTTCCTACACATTAAGTTTTAGAGTAAACATGTTTAGACAGGATGCCTTAGATGTTTAGAGATAAGTTATGCAGGTTACTATAGACATAGGGATTTTTATTAGTTGTCTGGGTGTATAATTCTATATTTCTGTTCCTGTTTTCATTTTAAAACAAAAGATGAAATAGTTACAAGAAAAAAAATTTCTTAAAAAAACCTTGCTAGACTCTTAGCTCCTTATCCTGATGCTGAAGCAGAGCTTTTTAGTTCAAGTTTATAATTCCATTTACTCAAATAAGAATGATTATGTTTATGGCTTTTTCCTTCCTCCTAGATTCCTCCTCTGGATGTCTAAAAGCCTCAACTCATCAGGGTGTCTTAGATGTTTATGTCAGCCAACTGGGGAAGGTGGAATTGAAATCCCATAAAGGTTTGCCAAGTGAAATGTTTTGTTTTGTTTTTTTTTTTGACATGGTTTAAGGAAGGTTTTACATAACCGTCAGGAAATAGATGGTCAAATTATCTTATTTATAGTATTGACAAAGTGATTTCAAGAAAATTTCTTCTGATAGAACTTGATTTAGAGACTGGAATACTAGTCCCATAGACCAATGATCTTTGAAACTCTGGGGAGAGATAGCCATGAAGACTATCTTTCCCTTTGTAGTGCAAACAAAAATGTTGTAATATACTGACTATTATTGTAAAATGTTTTAGTGTTAGTGTTTGGGTTTTTTCAGTTTAACTTATGCCTGAAATACAGTACTCTTTGGAAAATGCTCTCATCCATTCTTCTGAAAGCCTTATGGCCACTGTAAGAGGACCTTTGAGTCTGTGACTCTAGAGTAATAATACTTTTTAGAATGTGATCCTGAAATAAAGGTATTAGCAGGAGCGTTCTCCAAAGTGATTGTTGACTTAGTTCCTTAAAGTATCAAGACTTATTATATGGCCCTGGCCAGGTTGCTCTGTTGGTTCGATCATTGTCCCAATAAGCCAAGATTGTTGGTTTGATCCCCTGTCAGGGCACATATAAGAAATCAACCAATGAATGCATAAATAAGTGGAACAACAAATCAATGTTTCTCTCTGTCCCTCTCTTGCGCCCCCTCTCTCTGTTTTTCTCTTTCTCCCCCCTTCCTCTCTAAAATCAATAAATAAAATTACTTACTATGTGTCTCTTCCTATGATCTTATTTCTAATACAAATAACTTATTCTAAGAGTCCAGATCTTTCATTAAAAGTGATACACTTAGACCTGGCTGGCGTGGCTCAGTGGATTGAGTGCTGGCCTGCAAACTTAAAGATCACCAGTTCAATTCCTAGTCAGGGCACATGCCCTGGGTTGTGGATCAGGTCACTGGTTGGGGGCATAGAAGAAATAACCTAGTCGGTTGACACTTCTCTAACACATTGATGTTTCCTTCTCTTTCTTCCTCTTTTACCCTCTCTCTAAAACTAAAGAAATAAAACCCTCCCCCCCAAAAAATAAAAATAAATAAAATCTTTAAAAAAATAAAGGCGATACTCTGAAGACTGTGCATGTGTACATGGATACATGCATGGTGGCAAGTGGCCTGGGTACTTGGAATATGTTTGCCACTGGGGCGAAGTGGCCTGGGTGCAAAAAGTTAATAACCGTAACTCTGTATAAATTTATTTTAAATAAATTCTAGAAGCTCTTGCATATTGTCCAAACCAAGGCTATGTGTATAGCAAGGAAAATGCTTCCTTACAGAGACAAGTTGTTCTTGCTGTTAGTAATTTATTTCCCCCATTGGTTTAATTTTTTTTCTTTTTGTCGATGAGGCTTACTTGTTAAGAGTGTCAATATAAAAGTAAAAACACAGAGTTCTGAAACTGAAGTTACTACTGACATATAGGTGTGATTTGATTTCTCAAGATCACATTTGTCTTCCTTTAAATAATATAATGTCCTGACTAAATTTCTAAGAGTTTCAATAATGCTAATCAGAGTATTTTGTGAATGCCATAAGAGTCATATAATTGCATTTTCTTATTATGAAGAAGAAAATGAACCATTACTACATTTAATGTAACTAGTAACAGAGGAAAAGCTCCTATATGAAATTTTTTCCTTTATTGTATGGATGGGCAGAAAAGTAAAACGAAACAAACAATCTTCATCTACTTCAAATGTTTTTGAGTGTTATTTGGAATGTTGTTCCAGTAACCTATTGAAATGGCATATGATGTTACAAAATTTGACTAAGATTGCAGTTTTGTGTTTTCTCCTAGTGGAACCATGTTACTAGCAGAAGCTTAAAGATAACTGGAAGCAAAGATTTCTATCTTACTTTAGATCTCTTCTCAGTACCCTTTGCAACAGTAACTTTGTTAGAGCAATGGAAAGTTATTCAGGGTTCTATTGCTTAATGTTTAGTAAAGACATTTGGAATCCTTTCCACCTCTACCCCTGTCTTGCTATGGGGTTCAAGGGCCAGCCACTTGAGTCTCTTAGGTCTTCAACATTTTGCTACTTGAAAAAGAGTGTTACTATGCTTGTTTTCTTTCTCCCTGTGGAAATCATGGGATCTTATTAATTCTTTCAGAAAGACTGTGTTTGGGCTTGGTCAGGCCTACATCTGAATATTGACTTTTCCACTTAAAATTTGTCTTTGATAAAATCTTTAAGTCTTGCGCTGTATGTATTTAGTTGATTTTTAGTTTAGTGAGGCAGACTAATCTCAGTATAGTATGCCTTCATTAAATGAGAGCACCAGCTCTTATTTCTTAAAAAATATCATGTTGAAGGAGACATTTGAGAGTTTTCAAGATGTGAGAATTCTTAATTCACAAACAGTAACGGAGCATTGGTAGTGATAGTTTTTATTTTTGAGAATATGGAGAGAGATGGGGATAAAACTGTTTGTATTGCCTAACATTTTTAAAGCTCTCACAGGTTTAAAATACCTTTATTCATTTAAGAACAGAAAAAATTATTACATCTGATTTATTTAGAGATATAATAAAGTCCTTAAAAAGCTTTTAAAATCTGTTATTCTCTACTTTTTAAAGTATGTTTGGTAGAAAAACATGTGTTTTCTAGTCTTCTAAAAGTTTTTCAGTGTTGTTTTTTTCCTAAAGTTTTCACATCTGTTGTAATGGGGAATCTCCTGTCAGTAGTTTACATTTAAAGTCTAAAAAGCAATTTTTTTTTTTAAATAAAATAAACCAGTTGTAGTGATGTGCTTTATTCCTCTCTTTTTTGAGGAGTAAGTATGAGAGTTCATCAGCCTTATCTTAAACTTCCAGCTTTAGTTTGGAAGACTAAGAGGATAAGAAATTACTTAAGGAAACGTACACTTATGTTAACCAAACTGGAAGGCAAACAATGACCCATAAATAAATGCATTCTAAAAGGAATCTTTCCATTATTCACAATGGATGTCATCCTGACCATCTTGTCCACAGAGGTGGGATTAATATTTTATGGCAGCAGCCATGTAATCAAAGCTTTTTTGAGGGAAGGTGGGAGGGGGCAAGGGAAAGAGGTGGGGGGAAGGCAGAGACAAATGTATTTAAAAAGTAAATAAATTAATTAAAAAAAAAAAAGTAACCTGTTAAAAACTTACAGAGAATGTTTGGAAAATAATGAACTGGCCTTATATATTGTAGTCACTATTATATTATTAAACATTAACAGTATTCTGGGAAAAAAAAAAAAGCTTTTTTGAATGAGAAACAGAGAAAGAAAACTTCTGAAGGAGGAGTGGAGTGTGCTGGTGAGTTTGCACTGCAACCCACATCATTGTTTTGAAAAATCCTTCCTTGGGTAACAGTACTTTTTCTTATTTCCTCCTTCAGAAGCTTGAATTGCTACAAGATTATAGTGGAAATAAAGTTGAGTGTCTTGCTTCAGGTACCTAAAAGACTGTGATCCACTGAAAAGAAACATTAGTCAATTAAAATTCAAATATTCTCTTCTTTTTATTATTATTATCCCCCTGTCCCCAACAAGGTACAGCTGAAAATGTGAGAGCTCAGAGCTCTAGTTGTATTAATAATGATCAGTGAGGTTACAAGTTCTGTAATAAGATGAGGTAGCAGTGTGTAAAATACCACAGTAGTGAAGAGCATAGGTTTTGTTGTCATTGAACTGGATCTAGATTCCAACACTAGCTGTAGTGGGAACTTGAGCAAGTTTTCATCTGTAAAATCAGGATTATAATAATATCTCATAAAGCTGCTGTGGAGATTAAAAGAGATAAGGTACAATAGTTAAGGTATAATTACATTACGCCCTAGTAAATGCTCAATTAATGGTAAGTCCTTTCTACAAGCTTCATGTGTAACACACCGCTCACTTTTCTGTGATGAGGGCTTTTGACAAAAGAAGAAGTAGTAGTCTATGTCCTAATAACTCATACTCTTGACATAAGTTACTGTGAATGCCTTGGGAGTAAGGAGACATTGACCACCAGAGAGTAAGGAAAAGACTCTGCTGTTTAAGTAAAATATACTGAGAAATAAAGACAGTGTACCAGGAGCAGTGCCTCCCATTCATTCATTTTTGTAATAGGCTCTGGTAGTTTTGATTTCTTTGCATTAATAAGCTCTCCTGTAAACTTATTACAGGCTCTATTCTTGTCAAGGTTGCATCATCTCTTCAAGCTCATTTACAGTTATCAGGAAAAGAGGTTGATGTGAACTCAGAAGTCCATGTTCAAGAGATGGCTGAAGATCATAAAGATGGAGGTGTAATAATTACTGGTAAGGAGGCTACATTTTGCTATGTAAGATGAGTAGTCATTGTCCATACAGAATTAGAAATATGGTATACTTAATTGCAGTTTTATTCTATGTTCTTTTCCATTGTCATGTTCTGGTGTTTGGCACTTTTCTCATCCAACTGCTTATCAGTAACACATGCAGACATTTTGTTTGAAATACTCACTGGTCATATCACTGGATAAAATCGATTTAAAACATTTCCTTATCTGGAAGAGGTATTTGCACACCCATGTTCATAGCAGCATTATTCAATGTAGCCAAGAGGTAATAGCAACACATACATTTATCAATGGAGGAATAAATAAATGAAATGTATATACTACATGCAGTGGAATATCATTCATCATTAAAAAGGAAGAAAGGCCTGTCTCATGTTACAATGTGGATGAACCTTAAGAACATTATGCTAAGTTAATTCAGCCAGTCATAAATAGAAAAATACTGTATGATTCCAATTATATGAGATATCTAAAGAAGTCAGATTCATAGCAACAGAAAGGAGAGGGAAAGGGGGAGTATATACCCATATGCAGTGGTTATAGAGTCTCAGTTTTGTAAGATGAAAAAGTTCTGGACATCTATTGCACAACAGTGTAAGTGACATTACCACTACTGACCTGGAAACTTAAAAATGGTTAAGATGATAAATTTTATATAATGTGTTTTTTATCCCAACTTAAAATTTTAAAAATCATTTTAAAAAAACGTTTTTTTCTGGCACAGATGCTTTCTAATTCTTGGACTTAAAAATCAACTCAATACATACAATGCAATATTTAAAGTTAACTTTGTATGATTAGAACAAATAGGAATTTGGTTTCGTATTATGCACACAGAAAATTTGCTCTTTCAGTATAACAGAATTTCAGTCCCAGGGATGTGAATAGTTTTGCACATTTTTCCTAATTACCACTGGCTGTATTGATCATCAATACTACTTTTAAAAATATTTATTATATAGTTAATATACATACATACTAAAAAAATTAATGCTGGTGAGATTTTCCTTTAAATTTTACCAGCATCAAGAAGGACACTGAAATTAAAGTATGTACCTGCATGTGTACTATAGGGTTAGCTGTGAGCTAATGTCTAGAAAAAGAAAGTATGTGCGGCGGCGGCGGGGGAGATGGTGGCAGTGGCTGTGGGGTGTCTTCAAAAGATCAAGCTTCAGTTTCAAATATTCATTTTATATGCTAAGAAAGAAATCTGTTAAAATCATAGCATATTAATAAAAAGCATAATAGTAATAAAAATAACACCTGTGCTCTCTCAAGTACTTAATGGGCAACTCTTAGTTATATGATAAAAATTAAAGTGTATTAAATGTGGTAAGACTCAACTTGTGATCTAATCTCTTGAGTTTGATAAGGAGCCAACAGAATTACCTTTTGTTGGCCACTGTAATCTAAAGATAATATAAATTTGTTTAATAATGCTCCCAATGATAGTATAATTACATTATTTTACATATGTTAATAATGTTTGAATTACAAAGTTATTTTGTCATTTTTCATTCTGTTACTCATAAAATCATGTGCCTTTCCAAAATTTAGATTTTCTTTTAATTCAGTTTTGAATTAAAGCCATTAAATTAATCACTTAAGCCATTAAAACAAAGACCTCATTTAGTCATTTAAGAACGCTTACTAGTTTGGTCATTGGATAAAATTGGACCTGGTCTCTTTATTAACTTCTAGCCATTCTACTCTACCAAACCAATACACCTCAAACTTAATATATTTAAAAACAAACATTATCTTTCCTAGTCTAGCTCTTCCTCCTGCTGTCTTCTATATTTTCCTTCATTTGGTCAGTCAGTCACTCAACGAGCACTTCTTGAGTCAGGCATTATGAGAAACTTGGAGTGAAAAGATAATAAAGTATGGTCCATCTGCCATCTGAGGAGCTTACATTTTACTGAGGCAAGACAAACAAACCAATGAATACAATAAAGTGGGAAAATGTTATACCAAAGTCATATACATGCTACTGTGAGAGCATTGTAGGTGACACATCTATATTAGACTAGCACAGTGAGTTTGAGGAAGTAAGAGAAGTCCTACTAGAGAATAGAAGCTAGAGAATAGAGAGTAAGGGGGAAGGTGTCCTAAAGGGGATAGGGAATTTGGGAGGCAGTCGGATCACATAGGACTGATTTGGATTTCATACTAAGTACAATGCAAAGGCACTGACTAAAAGGTTTTAATCTGGGCTTCACATAGGCAGATCTGTATATTAGAAAGATCACTGAATGTTGAGTGGGCAAAATTAGAAGAGACAATAGTGGAAACAAGAAAAGTTTAAGTAGCAGCAGGTTACTGTAGTAAATACAGGAGAAAGAGTTCAGTGGCCTGGATTCCACAGTGGTCTAGGTTAAATTCAACAAGTAAATAAGCCTTAAACAAATATTTTTAATTCTTTTAAAAAATATTTTATTTTTGCCCTGGCTGGTGTGTCTCAGTGGATTGAGCACCAGCCTGAAAACCAAAGGGTTGCTGGTTCTATTCCCAGTCAGGGCACATGCTTGGGTTGTGGGCCAGGTCCCCAGTAGTGGGTGCACAAGAGGCAACCACACATTGATGGTTTTCTCCCTCTCTTTCTCCCTCCCTTCCCCTGTCTAAAAATAAATAAATAAAATCTTTAAAAAAAATTAAAAATGGAAATCTTTAAAAAAATACTTTATTTTATTTTTAGGGAGGGCAAAGGAGGGAGAGAGGTAGACAAACATTGACTTGCAAAAGAAACATCAGTTAGTTGCCCCTCACACAACCCTTATGGGGGACCTGGCCCACAACCCAGGCATGTTCTCTGACTGGGAATTGAACTGGCGCCCTTTCAGTTTGGGGAGACAGTGCTCAGCCCACTGAGCCACACTAGTCAGGGCTCTGTGAACAAATTTTGGCAGAAGAAATAAACAAGTATATGCTATGGGGAAAATGCATGCTTGACTTGTTGGTTTTTATGAAGTTTCTCAACCTAATTAATTCTTTTTGGGAGTTATTTGTTATTATGTCTTACATTCCAGCCCCTACTTTCTAAACCAGGAAGGTGCAAATTGCAGAATGAATTTTATTTCCTGTTCATAGTGTAAGATTCTAGCTACTGATCAGAATTCTTTTGTAGAGTGGCAAATGATGTCCTTCAAAGTTGGGCCCTAGGTAGGTTGTCTGTGATGTTAGATTAAATCCATTAGAGTGATAAGGACCTCAGATAAAAACAAAACAGTTTTGGACTTCTGGTCAAGATGGTAGTGTAGTTAAACATGGCTTGCCCTCTCACAACCATGTCAATTTACAACTAAGCTATAGAACAACTGTCATTCAGAGCTGTCAGAGATCAAGCTGAAGGGAAGTCCAACAACTATGGAATTAAAGAAGAAAACACATCCAGACTAGTAGGAGGGGTAGAGACACAGAATGGGCTGGCCCCACACCCACATGTGACAGGCAAAAATTAGGAGAAATATCGGAGGAACAAGGAGACCTAGCTTCACCCCAAGCTCCCCAGCCCAGGACTCTGGTGCCAGGAAGAGAAGTCCTCATAACTTCAGACTGTAAAAACCAACAGGGATTGAGGCTGTGGGAGACAGAAACTTCTGGAATCCAAGGCAATTCCTCTTAAAGGGCCTGCACACATACTTACTTGGACCTACTCCCTCTAAGCTCCATCGTGGGAGCAGAAGATTGAAAGGCATCAGAGACATACAGGGAAGAACTAAATCGTCCAGCATGAGGATGAGAGCTGAGGGGCAGCTTTCTCCCAGACATTGTTCCTTTTCTGAGCCCTCCAGCCACAGAACCTGTCTGCAAGGTTCATATCTGAGACTGGTATCTACTTGATTCACACTGCCCCACCCTGGTGATTTCCTGAGGCTCTGTCCCACCCAATTTTCAGGCACACCCAAGCTGTTTCCCGTGGCTTTTCCATACAAAATGGATTATCATGGCGCGTGCTTCAGATATTCCTAAATTCTCTCAAACAAGCAGGATCTGGCCTCAGCGAGCCCTGTACCTCTCCCTAAGTTGCCCCAGGCCTGACACTAGCAGCAGCTAGCTTTGGTTCACAGACCCCCAAGATTGTGCTTGCCTGGGGACCCCCAAACCCAGCACAATCACTTTGTAGCTTATGCTGTGTGACTCCAGACAGAACACAGGCGGTAAATGATCTTGCACATGCCAACAGAAATCAAGGCTCAGCTACAACATGAGGGTATACATAGCCCACACATGGACACACCTTGAGTACCCATCTTGGGTAATGGGGCTATGCCACTGGACATACAGGACACTTATACATTAGGCCACTCTACCAAACCTGGGAGAAAGCAGCTCTTCTTAATACATAGAAACAAACACAGGGAGGCTGCCAAAATGAGAAAAAGAACTAAATAAAATGGAAAAAAGTAATCAGATGCAGAGTTCAAAAAACTCTGTATAAGGATGCTCAAGGAACTTAGTGAGGACCTCACTAGCATTAAAAAAATAATCCAGTCAGAAATGAAACATACACTGATTGAAATAAAGAACAATTTGCAGAGAATCAACAGAAGAGTGTGTGAAGCCAAGAATCAAATCAGTGATTTGGAATATAAGGAAGCAAAAACAACCAAGAACAGCAAGAAGAAAAAAGTATAAAAAATAAAAAATGAGGATAGTGTCCAGAACTTCTGGCACAATTTCAGCATACCAACATTTGCATCATGGAGGTTCTGTAAGGGGAAGAGAGACAGCAAGAAATTGGAAACCTATTTGAAAAAATAATGAAAGAAAACTTCCCTAAATTGGTGAAGGAAATAGACATACATTTCAGAAAGTGTAGAGAGTCCCAAACAAGGTGAACCCAAAGAGGCCCATGCCAAGACACATCATAGTTAAAATGCCAAAGTTTAAAGACAAAGAGAATCTTCAGAGTAGCAAGAGAAAAGCAGTTAGTTGCTTACAAAAGAGCTCTTATAAAACTATCAGCTGACTTCTCAA